GGATTTTATTCAGAAACTGTTGAGTACATTGCAAGAGTCCAAGTAAGACATAACCTGGATGGAACAGTGACACTGGTGGTGAAAAGATGCCAGTAGAAATAATCTAAAGGAACAAAATGAAACCTTTTCCAATCAGCAGTACTCAAGTTTGCCCACCATATGACTCACTTACTACTACTATAATCTCTAAAGCAGGCCTTTCAAACCCCAATGCTGACAAGGCCAAAGATACTATAAACAAGGGAAGCACATCTGGAGCAAGAGAGCAACAAGTGTTGGGATCCTTCACATGTCGTCAAGGCCTAAAGGTCCAGCTAACTGTTGACATATGATGAGAATAAAGGGCTAATGATACCAGATCATAACTCTTTTTTTAGAGAAGTTAGAAATCAGGATTTTTCTGTATACCTTTCCAAACTTCATTATATCATGTAAGCCAAACAATATATTTCTATGCTCTGAATTTGGCCTATGGGAAACAACTTTATACCCTTTGCTCTAGTAAAATTAAGTGGAACACGCATCTTAAACGGGAAAGAAATCAAGAAAACTAACATGTAGACGGGCTGTGCTGGGATGCCATCAAAAGGGTGTAACTTTTAGAACCACAAAGCCTGTTGTGAGAGGAATCCTGAAAAAGTTTTATTACAAAGAAATATAAATGTAAGAAAATTAGAACATGCAGGGACCCCATTTTATTTGAAAAAAAAAAGGGGGGGGGATAATATACACACCAACTCTGTGTCTTGATTTATAATAAATCAAGAATAATATAACCTACTTCATAAGATTGTTATAAGGAGTAAATAAAATAAATCATATAATTGTTATGCATTAGCACAACCCCTGGCACATAGTAAGTGCTTAATAAATGTTAGCTATTACTATTATTATGGGGCACTGTGAAGTGAAGTAACTTATTTAAGATCATACAGTTATTAAGTGTACTACCTGGATATGCCCCCAAGATAGCTTCGTATAATACATTTGAACCATCAAACTCTTCTGTAGCCTCCCCATCCCTGGCCTGGCTAGTTTCTTCATATGTACAATGAGAAAGTCATATGAGATAACTAAAGTTTCTTCTAGACTGACATTTTATGCTACTAGCCAGTCCTCTAAGGAGCTCTGGTAGTGTAATGGTTAAGAGTCAGGCTGCTAACCTCAAGGCCATCAGTATGAAAATTACCAGCCATTCCACAGGAGAAAGATGAGATTTTCTGCTCCCATGAAGATTTACAGCCACAGAAACCCTATATAGGGTCGCTATGAGTTGGAACCAACCTAATGCCACCACTACATCACCATAGCCAGTTCTCTAATCAGCTTATTTCAGGACAGCAGTGGGACAAAAGTGTCCTAGTTGATTCTGTGAGCTGGGGTGAAGTTGTTCACACACCTACATGCAACAAAAGTAAACTACAGAAGTATAGTGTAGGCTTGGGGTAGGCTTAAATCATTCAAGCATGAGATAATCCATAGGTGAAATCAGGAAGTAAAAGGGATTCAGTATTCCAAAGAGATTACTGTATTTCTCAAAAGCCAGTAACCCTTCTGGGTAAACCCTAAAATTCACCCATACTCCTAAACTATTATAAACTGGAGGCCACTTACAAGCCTAGCAGAGAGCCATGATAGGTTTTAAACTTAAAATCTCCCAAACACATAGCAACTGTTTTCCTTCTGGGATTATGGGTCTCTATGAGAACCAGAGAAAAGCTCCCTCTCTTCCCCAGAAAACAGGTGCTCCTTCCTCAGATACACAAGCATACAATTATATTTGCAATTACAAGGGGCTTACAAATCTCCTATAATCTCTCCCTAGACTTGAATGGTCTTTGAAATAGATCTACCATGTTCTAGACTTGTCCTCCCAGGGGATTCAAATTTTGCCCCAAGATCTTTTTGACCCTGGGTTGGGGTTTCTAGGCAGCTATGCTCAGGTGACAAATCATCTAATGTATCTCAGCACAATTAAATCTGCACAGAAAACAAAAATGTCTATTATTTCCCCTCCACTCACACCAACTTGTATTGAAGGTATTTGAACAAAAAAGATCTGCAGTTTAACCTCAAAACACGAGCAGATGTAAATTTAAGAACAGCTCCCCAAGAATATTTCATGCTCTTAGAAAAACCTGAGAGTGTAAGAAACCAGGCAAAGCTATCTTAGTCCCCATGGTACTGTGCCATTCCAAGAAAGAAAACAGTCAAGAGTACTAATTAATCTTAATAGATAATTTTTCTCCCACATGGGCATTGAAGACTTTATAAGTCACCAAAGTGACCACATAAGCTCACTCATAATTAAAGAAGAAATCAAAAGAAGATACTGTTCCCCTCTTATAAGATTAGCAAAAGGTTAAGTGTTGGTGAGGGTCTAGAGAAATATATCGCTAATACACAGCTGGTAGGTTTGTAAATCATGGTAGTTTTTTGGAGGGCAATTTGTCCATTTTTATCAAAAATTTAAATATATATATCCTTTGATGTAGTAATCCCTTAAGATTTTTTTTTGCAAAAGTAAGCCAAAACAGATGTTCAACCAGGATTAATTTGTCAGTTTAAAAAGGCAAAAAACAAAAACAAAAACAATAAATCGGGTTGCTAGTCACATTGTATATAAACGGAATACCACATAATTACTAAAATAATGAGATTTAAGTGAGGATGTAGAGAAAACTGAACAGTGGTACATGGCTGGTGGTAATGTAATGAGGATGAAAATTAAAACAAGCACATACCCCTCTACTCTCAATGCCATGCTGACAGCACAAATTACTCAATTTCACTGCTATGTGTAGACCCAAACAAATTGAAAGCAGCAGTTCAAACAGACACATGTATATCAATGTCCGTTGCAGCATTATCATTATTCACAATAAGCCAAAACGTAGAAACAACCTAACAGCCTATCAACAGAAAAAAGGATAAACAAAATGTGGTATACACATGCAATTGAGCAATCTTCAGCTATAAAGAGAAATGAAACTCAGACACTTGCCCTCCATCACACAGATGAACCTTAAAAACATTATGCTAAGTAAAATAATGCAGATATAAAGACTCAAATATCGATGCTTCCACTTTTATGAAATATCTAAACAGGCAAATCCATCAAAACAAAATGTCTGTAATTAGCAGGGGCTAGGGGAAGGGGTCAATGGAGAATGCAGAGTAGGGGAAGGCTGATACGAAAAGAGCTCTCAGACATATTATTAATTGGAAAAAGAGGTTGCAAAATAGTTAGTGTTATTACATGGTTCCTTTATATTACCTTCTAGAATGATGAGTAACAAGCTGGCTACTTTTGTAGAGACTGGGAAAGAGAAGAGCCATAGTGCTGCATAATCAATGAATAAACATACATAATAGAGATCATGGGATGGGATCATGGACAATTTTTGTTTTCTATATGCTTTTCAGCACAAAAATCCTAAATCTAACATGTTATTATATAAAAATTCCATAATAACCATCCTTTGGAATTTTTTAAAAGAGAAACCATGCTTAGTGACGAGACAAGCAAAAAAGAGGACCAAGTTCTAAATACAATGCACAGTAGGAGACCAGTGGAGGAGGTCGGGAGAGAATGAGGATGAAAATTAAAACAAACACATACCCTTCTTCTCTCAACACCCTGCTGACAACACGAATTACTCAAGCTTTCCACTGGGGATGAATAACTCAGTACCCCACACCACTTGCCAGCTACTCATTACAGTGTTAAGTATGGGAGATGGCAGGTTAGTCCAAATCCTGACTTTTGTAATATGGTGAGCCAGAATCGTTGTTCCTACAGAGCCCAAAGTGGCAGATAAAGCTACAGCTGAAGAGAGGAGCTGGCAAACCTCCCAAGGCACACATTGCAAAGGCACATAGGGGTCCTGCCACTTACTTTTTTATGCGGCACACATCTCAGCAGCATAGAAAGTAAGAGCCAGGAACAGAGAAGGCAGGGAAATCTCAGCTGCCTATAGAACTTCAGGGAGCCCTGCTCCACACCAGGGACACTCCTGCAACAGTACTGACCCCATCCTGCCTGCCCCATGGAAAGAATTGGCTAGGATTAAAAATCAAGGCAGATAATGCCCTGGATTTAACTGCCCCTTTCATCTGAGGCCCATGAAATAAATGATAGCATGGCTTACTTTCTGTGATATTTTTCTGAAATATTGCTTTACAAAAAAGTAGGAAACTGCCTCCAACGTAGAATCCCCAGAGAAGCTGGCAAGGCATGCCAATCTAAAAGCAAGGCCATCTGTATATACAAGGTGGCTTCAAAGAGTTCATTGATAATTTTCATTGTATTTTAATGCCATAAAAGGTAGTAGTCTCTCCCCATGGAATTTATGGAGCACTGAAAACAAAACCTTTTACTCTTTCCCTGCCCCTGCATTTCCCTTAATTATGTCTGAAATTTCCTTAATGATTTGAACCACTGGTCTGGACTGCTCTTAATATACAGAAGGGGAAAGAGCTTAGGTTCCTAACACCACAGTGCAGAGGTTCTTAGCCTTTTCTTGTCCTCACTGCTTTTTAGTAACTAAGAAAAGTAAACAAAATTTCGATATGTTGTTGGGGATTTGCATCCTCCTGAAGCCTCCAGCCTGGGTTATGAACACCTGGCTCAGTGTCAATGAGTTTGACAGATCTCTTTCTTCCTTGGCAAGAGTTCCTACGCACCTAGTATACACTGGGCCTAAAGAGGGGAGGCTCTACTGAAGGGAAGTGCTCACTATTTCATAAGTTTGCCTACAATTGCTTCTGCTTAGAATCCAGGTCACAATTCATGATTTCTTCTTAGCAAAGTGTGGAATTCTCCCATAGTCTACTTCTGGAAATATGGCTCCCCAGGCTTTCGGAAACTTTAGTACCTGTTAGGAAATGCCCACTTGAAATTAACATTCCAACAGGTCTCACAACCCTTTGGGCTAATCACAGTACCTGAGAGAGATAGAGGAAAAGGCTTTAACACTGTATGAATTAAGGTGACTCACCTCTGAGGTTTTCGAATATCCCAGAGTCCCACTCCTTCCTTTGAATTGGCTGTGGCCAATAGCCGGGGCTCCACAGGGTTAAACATGACACTGTGAAAGGCTGATGGATAGTTGGCCAGGCAGAAGGGTTCTGTGAAAAGAGAAATTTTCATCAGTTCTTTCTAGTGTCTGGACCGGTAGCAGGCAGACAAGCAGGGGTGTGAAGGTTGAGTAGGAACATTCCCTTTAATAACCACTCCAATGGGTAAGAACCCTGAAGTAGCATATCATTCCAGTCATCCTTATTCACAAGATCCCTACAAGTCCTTGTTCAAACTCTTTTTGTACAAAGAAAGCCTGAAAACAGCAGCCAAAAACAGTTAACCAAAGTTTAAATGATCATCCTCAGAAGTATGCCCACCAACACATATTCAGTACTGTGACAAAACAAAATGGGCACAAAGACCATGTTCTACATCTTAGTTTGGTTTGTAGTGACTGGGATCTTAAAAGCTCTTAAGATACAACTATTGGTCTCTCCCTGTCTGGAGGAATGAAGAGTGATGAAAATTGAAGACACTTAGCAACAATTAGTACAAAAGATGAATGGAACACATGAACTGTGAACTAGATGATGCCTGGCTACCACTACCAACTGCTCTGCAAGAGATCACAGTAGAAAGTCCTGGATAAAATGAGAGAAAATGTGGGACAAAACTTAAAATTACTAAAAAAAAAAAAAGACCAGGCTTACTGGTTAGACAGAGAACAGAACTCTGAGACTATAGCCCTTGGCCACTCTTCAGACCTGGAACTGAACTTACCGCCTTGGCTCAATAGATAGGTGTATAGAAGAGACAGCCCCACTAGTGAGGTCTGCACACCATGGAACAGTCAACCATTCAAGATCAAAGGGGTGGGATTTACCCAAGAACCAAGTCCAGAAGGATTGCAAAGGAAGGAGGAATGGAAACAAGAACCACCCAAATTGAATAGGGGGTGTAAGAAAAGAAAATGGCCTCAGTCTAGAATTTTATGATTTCACTCCCAGTGGTGGAATGCTTAAAAAAATTAGAAAAAGAATACACCTAACACATAAATTGTTCTTGTATTCCACTGGCTCCTTAGCAATGTCACCTGGAAACCCTGCAGGCCTTAGCAATGTCACCTGGAAACTCATATCAGCAGGCTCCAAATGAGGAAGGAATCACTTGGCTACTTGGGAGGGCACACTCACTCCTGTGGCGCCTGTTAGAAGTAATAGACAGGAAGCCCTTGCCATCTGCCATTTCTATAATGCAATCTGCACAGAACTCTAGGCTGGTGATACACTCAGCTGTCTTAGCCATCAGGCCATTCAGACAAAGGGAATTTCCATTCTCAAGCTCACAATGACTCAACAATAGCTGCTGCTTGCCACTACCTTGCCTACCTGGATCCTAAAAACAAGCTCCTCTTATAGCCTGAACCTCAGTGATGCACACAGCCTAGTACAACAAACATAATACAGAATAATAAAAAGACCCAGACCAGAGTAATAGAAAAGACAACGAAGGCAGGACAACAACTCTATGTGCACAGTATGATCATTAAAAACCTGTGCCAACATTGTTAGAGGATGGTGCTAGAAAACCTTCTGCAGGAAATGAGATGAGATGAAGTTCCTGAAGAACTTTGAAGAAATTCAACAGAACAAGATCTTTATTTTATACTTCAGAAATTTAAAGAGCACACTTGGTAAAAACATACACACAGATAACTTCCCTTAACCAGAGTGTATTTGTCAACATTTTTAAGATCCAATATATGGATAGGTTCTATAATTCTTTTAGCCAAATAACAAGCCTGAAACTAGGACGCAAGAAAGTGTATGTAACAATTGGTAAATAACCAAGATGTGTCATACCACCAAAGTGTATTTAACAACTGGTAAAAATAACCAAGAAGATAAGTCACACAACCCATAGTGCTGGCCCTTGGTGGCTACTCTTGACAACAAAGTACCACATCTTCTGCTCTATTGGGGCTACTAAACACCAAGGCACTGATAGGGTTGTGGAGATTCACATGTGTCTGGAGAAGAGCTGGCCTCACTACCAACTACTTAGGCATAGACTAAAACCTTCAAAGACACAAATCTGTGCCCTACCATGACAGTTTCATATTTCTTTCCCCAGATCATTTAGGTCATAAGTTGGATCTACAATGAACTTCACATCAAATTCTTCAATCCAATCCAACAGCCTTTTTGCACTGTGATCCTAACCTCCATGGGGAGACTCTCGGATGTCCCAAATGAGAACCTGGCCATCATCCGAAGAGCTGGCAAAAATGTTGTCATTCACTGGGCTCACCGACAAACCGTACACGGCATCTTCATGGGCAAACACATCCAGGGTCTCACTGCTGAGAGACAGAGAAAAAGAGAGAGGCACACAGACACACACATACATACATACAGAGTGCTGAGTCCCACCCCTCTGGTATCTAGGGAAGAGGGGTCCAATTTTATGAGAAAATCAATCGAGCTGAACTGAGGATATTATCATATTATCAACCTTTTTCCTGGGTTGAATGCTTTTCCAAGTGTTCAGCTATGTTAAAAGATTTATTAAGATTTCATACATTTGCTTTTTGCATGAAATAAGCAAGTTTAAAAGGGAATCAACAGGTGAGTTACATGGTTTCATTTATTACAGAATGTGTACAGATTTGGGAATGTTGTGTAATTTCTAAAATGCAAGGGAAAGCTTTAAAGCAGCCAAGGTTGATGCCAGCAAGGGTAGGACTCTCATGCCAAAAGAGGGATCTCCTAGCAGCCTGTATTGAAGATTAAAACTATGACTCTGAGTCTAGATTGCCTATGTTCAGATCCCTGCACCACCTGACTTTAAAGTGATTTAGTACCTCTGTGCCTCAGTTTCCTCTTCTGTATTGGAAATCACAACAGTATCTCCCCATAAAGTTATAGTGAATTCATCCACTTAGAACAGTGCCCGGCACGCAATAAGTCAATAAACATAAGCACTATTAAGAATATGTTCCCTTACCTTATAATGTTTCTCTTTAAAATTTCCAACTGAAAACTAAGACAACATACCAACTTTGCAAATATGTATCTTTTTAAATCAAACCTTTATTTCAAAACTATTTTTCAAAACAGCACAACTGGTTTCACATTATTTTTGTCAAGGATCAAAAACTATGTCAGCCTAAAGAAATTATTTGCCTCTGTTAGCATGAAAACCAGAGTCAATCACCTTGATACATCAACAATATATTTACCTTTCAACATCATGGAGGATAACTTGCTCATCATTTCCTATAAAGAAAAAAAATAGAGATTTGATCATTCCTGCAAGATGTTTCCTGTCCATATTACAATTTAATATTTTAAAGTTTTCAAGGAAAAACCTATTAATAAAGTCAGTATCAATACAAATTAGGAGAGTTAACTAGAAAAAAATTTATTAAAATAATCTAAGATAGCACTTATATACAGAATTTTTAAAAACTTAATAGCAACTAGCTATGTAACAATATTATTGTTGTTAAGTGTTGTCGAGTCGGTTCTGACCCATAGCAACCCTTTATAAGGTTTCTGAGAAGCAATTGGTGGGTTTGGATTGCCAACCTTGCAGTTCAAATCAGCCTTGAGGTCAAGTGTTTATCCTAAGATGCTATACCAGGACTCCTATAACAACAACAACAAAAAAAAGTCCCAAAATGTATTGTCCAGTGGATGATATATTAAAAAAAACTTTGGCCATTAAGAAAAAAGGGAAATCAACTTTTTCCACACTAAATTAGTGGGGTGTTTTCAGGTCTTCAAAATTGTTTTCAGGTCTTCAAAATTGTTTCAAAATCATGTTCCAGCAACTTGAAACTGAAGCAGACTTGAATTTTTAAAATTTGAGAGATCTGGCATGATAACAAGCATGGGAAAGGTTATGTGCATAAGTCCTGGAATAGGAGACTAGGACCAGGCATAGTGAACCCCTTCAGGAGTCTGAGCAACTGGATTATTGGCAGGAGCATGGAAAGCCAACACTCAAAGTAATGCAGGTGGCATCCATCTTTGAGTGGGGCACTGCTGTTTCCTACTCTGCTCAAAATCTGATGGGCAAGAAATTTGTTTGCTATGCAACACACACATACTGCCCTTATTTCCCAAAAGATAGGTTAAATCTCCAGCAGGGTTTTGGCCCATAATTTTTCCAGTTCTTGTTATCAACTTGTTTCAGTTTTGTTTCCTTGGCAATGAATGACAGAACCAGAAAGAACCAATTCAAAGTCCTGTCTTTGTTGTTGTTATTAGCAAAATACTTATTAACTGTGAGATCTTAAATAAGCTCTCTAGCTTTTTCTTTGCCTCGTTTTTTTTAATCTGTAAAATAAGGATAATAACTGTACCATTTAGAATTTAGAACAGGTCTGAGCATTTAATGCACCCCCAACAAATATTACCTACTATTCATATCCTTTTCATCATTATCTCCTAAAGATCTCGGAATTTTTGTTTTATTTTGTTTTTAAGGGCTTAAAGTCAGTTCTTTAAATTCTTTTTTTCCTTTCAGTTCAATTTTTAAACTTTTCATTTTGTTGTTGTTGAGAATATACACTGCAAGGCATACACTAATGCAACAGTTTCTACACATACAATTAAGTGGCACTGATTACATTCAAGTTGTACAACCATTCTCACTCTCCTTTTCTAAGTCGTTTCTCCCCATTAACATAAACTCACTGTACTGTAAGTTTCCTATTAAATTTTTTCTGTGATTAATTTAATTCCACATATAAGTTCTTAAAAGAGTATGATGCTCAAGGCAGACATTCTTTACTAGCTAAGCTAATTTTAAGAAGATTTCTGGGATCTTTTTGGTTTTAAGGTTTAAGGATTACCTCTGGGCAATAGTTTCAGGGGCTCATCCAGACTCTATGGCTCCAGGAAGCCTGGAGTTCAGGAGAATTTGAAATCCTGTTCTGCAGAATCACCCTCCTTAGGATCTATCAAGGAGCCCTAGTGGCACTTAAGGTGTCAGACTGTTAACCTCAAGGTCAGTAGTTCAAACCCAGCAGTCACTGCACAAGAGAAAAATGAAGCTGTCTGTTCTCATAAAGATTTACAGTCTCAGAAAGCCAATTGTCGTTGTTAAGTGCTGTCAAGTTGGTTCCAACTCTGTATAGGGCTGCTGAGGAATAGCTGGTGAGCTTGAATCACCCACCTTGTGGTTCAAACTGAACTTACGGCTGAGGGCATTATCCTACAGTGCCACACCAGGGCTCCTCAGAAAGTCTATATAGAGTCATTATACATTGGAATCAGATAGATAGTGGTGGGTTTAGTTTTATTCTTTTAAACAGTAAAATCTGGTAACTGTAGGTTTTAAATTATGGGGAAGTTTTTCTCTTACATTTCTCTTGATTCCATCAAAGGGCCCCCAAATCACTACACTCATAATGTATAGTATTGACTTTAGATAGTCTATATAGACAAAAAATAAACCTTAGTATGAAAAGAAAGAAAGGAAAACTACCCTAATGCATGTGACTATACTGATATAATACAGAGACTACAAGCTATGGAAAACCACAGTTTAGTGATATAAAGAAAGAAAAACAGGTGTTCTCTTAATTCTCCTTTCTCTAAAATTCACAGTAGATTTCCCAAAATGTAAATTTCCCTTCCTCTCACCTCCAGAGAATACTTTGGTGTTGCCACTGTTGAAAGCCAGGCAAAAAATGTTGGAATGATGCTCTCCTTTCAGTTGTATGGGCTTAACTCTGGAATGGATGGCTTGTTCCATGTGCCATAGCAGAACTCGGCGATCATCTCCACCTTAAGAGGGGAGCAAGAGTCCAGAGTTCAACAGCTGACAATTCAAAGGTGATACCTGCTTCTGCCAGCCTAAAGTCCCATCTTTTTTAAAACTGCACCTACCCAGCCCCACGAGATTCTGACAAGATACATAAACCCAGGACTCTTCCCTTTAGCCTACTTTAAACCCAGAAGACACATGACCTCTAGGCCACTCAAGCACTTGCTCCCAGGAGTCTGAATCTTAAACAGACAGATTCATAAATGGAAAGAGGGTAAGCAGTGGTATCACCAGCTCTCCTAAAGCCACCTGCTGTTCCTGTCTTTCCATTGTTCCAATGGGTTAAATATATCTTCACTTGTTACCTATAATATTTTCATGAAAGTCCCTTTTGTTTACCTTCAGTGTACTTGAGTTGGATTTTATTGCTTGCAATCACATAATTCAAAAGCATATATCTAGCACACTAGATTTCAAAGCACTCTCCTTGATGCGATCTCATTGATAACGGGACACTGTACAAATGACAACCACGGAGGTGCCTGGCTTTCACAGTAGTAGGACTTACACAGAACCTGGTTCTCTTGAAGCCTCTCCCCACTGCTCTCCTTCCTCTGCATGATTTTCAATTGTCTGAATTAAGTGAATATATTACACTGCATAAGCCAGCTCCTAGAAAAAGGGACTATATCTGTTCTACAAATTCTTTATATTTGCAGATGGATTAAAAATGTCTGAAAGCAGAGGTAAACAGTGATGTATGCTCAACCTTGGAACAACAGGGCTCTGTGACACAGGGATTGAGGCACAGTCTGAAGAGGGGAAATAATCTTAAAGATGCTTGACTGTCTTATGAATATTGGTTTCCCTTGCCTACTATTGTATAATAGACACTTGAGTGGGATAGAAAGGAATATCGAGAAACATGATTACAGAAAGTTTGTTAGCCCATCTTCAGCCTATAACTGATTGGAATACCTTAAAGGTATTCTAGAATGTGCCCAGTGAAATAGGCTTCTTGTGGAGCCTTTGCAGTGTATAGGACCTTAAGTGGAATCCTGAGACCCATCCAGAACCTTCTGAAGTGAGACATTTTCACTAGAAAAGACAAGCAGACCAGCCTGGAACAGCTAGAGCAATACAAGATACATCTTCAAAGACAGACCAGCAGGAAGAATCCAAAACAAAATGGCAGTCTGATTGGCTACTATAAGAACAAGCAAGTTGTTTGCTGGGGAGCCATCAAGGCAAGCAATCAAGTCCCTTCAAGGACAAACACCCCTCTAACATTGAAACTCAAAGGGAACACACAAGCAGGCATGTAAGCTTGTTGGTGACCATGTTGGTCTACTGGTGAGTGGAAGAGGGGAAAAGGCAGCAATAAAGAAATGGGCTGAGTTTGACAATGATCCATAGACTCCTGTTGACCTAGAGATGAGAGAGAAGAGGAAGGGTTGGTTGCTCCAAAGTGCGGTGAGACCTGAGGACTCCTGAGCCCATGGACAAGGACATAGCCACAGAGGGCTAGAGCTGAGAGTGAAGTATCCAGCTGATATGAAGTGAGGGGGAAATGCCCAAACTTGCAGATAGTACCCATTTGACTTAGCCTCAAAGACTTGATAATCAGAACTCGACTAGAGGAATATAAAAAACAATCTTTGACAAAGGAAACAAGTGTAAATTGCTACAATTTGATGAACTTGACCTATACTTATGGATGTTGTAGCTCAAAATACCAATTGAGAGAGGAGTCTTCAAATCAAGTATCAATCCTATCCCTTCAGTATACAGGGTGGATAGGGACTGCCAACTTAGATACTGGCTACCTAAAATGAGGGGGTGATAAAGGCATGAAGTGACTGGCTTATAAGTTTTCAAGGGGGAGTTTAGCTTAAGAGTGTGTGGGGGAAGTACAGTCCTCATTGAATAGTTTTCATCTTGTCTAGATGGGTCTGGTGAAAAGAGATGAAGATAAGATGCTTATGATTCATTACTGAATAATTGTTATCATGACTAAATGAGACTGTCACAACTGTAAAGGTAGAAATTTTGTAACAAAAACAGGGGAGTAGTTAATCTTATAGTCTAGAAACAGAGGACTCAAGACCATCAAGAGAGAAGAGCACATGCAGAATGTGGGACCCTATCTAGAGAAGCAGCGATACCAGAGATGGAGACAGAGATGAGGATATGGAGAAAGGGAGCAGCTGAGGACTCTGGACTCATGGGAAGAGAGAGACTAGGTGCTAGTGGCCAGGAGGCAGACTTGCAGAATGTGTTCTGTGATTGTTTAAATTATTATATATTCCTGAGTATTTTTATGTACATCCTCACCCACCCCACCTCACCCCAAAACAAAGGGAATGGAAGCAAATACGGTTGAATGATGATGCACGGAGGAGACTGTAACCATTGCAATGAAACGATGGTGTAAAGCCAATGTTCTCCCAGGTAAACTATCACTCAGTTCACAATAAAAACTTAAAAAGAAAAAGAAAAGTTGTAAGCCAGTCACTTTGTGCATTAATAGCCCCCTCATTTTAGGTAGCCAATGTTTAAGTTGCCTGTCCCTATCAACCCTATCAACTCTGTATACAGCGGGAAATAGGACTGATACTTGATGTGAAGACTCCTTCCCACTCATTTGGTATTTTGAGCTACTACATCCATAAGCATAGGTCAAGTTCATCCTATTGTAGCAATTTACACTTGTTTCCTTTATCAAAAAAGAAATTTTTTTTCTGACCATCAAGTCATTGTGCGTACTATATACAAGTTTGGGTGTTCTCTTCATATCAGCTGGATGCTTTGCTCTCAGCTCTAGCCCTCTGTGGTTATGTCCTCGTCCATGGGCTCAGGAGTCCCCGGGTCTCAACACACTTTGGACCAACCAACCCTTCTTCTTCTCTCATTTCCAGGTCAATGGGAGCCCATATCTTCATTGCTGCCTTTTCCCCTCTTCCACTCACCAGTAGACCAATGTGGTTGCCAACAAGCTTACAAGCCTGCTCATGTGTTCCCTTTGAGTTTCAGTCTTGGAGGGGTGTTTGCCCTGAAGGGACTTAATTTCTTGTCTTGATGGCTCCCCAGTGAACAACTTGCTCATTCTTGCAGTAGCCAATCAGACTACCATTTTTGTTTTGGATTTTTCCTGCGGGTCTTTCTTCCAAGAAATATCTTCTGTTGCTCTAGCTGTTCCAGGCTGGTCTGCTTGTCCTTTCTAGTGGGAATGTCCCACCTCAGAAGGTTCTAGATGGGGCTCAGGATTCCACCTAAGGTCCTATACATTGCAAAGGTTCCTCAAGAAGCTTACTTCACTGGGCAAATTCTAGAACCCCTTTTAGGTATTCTGAACAATCAGAATTTAATATTAAAAACATAACACCATTTATATTAGCACTGTCTCTCCCCTCCAGAAGGAGCTCTAGTAGTGTAGTGGTTACAAATCAGGCTGCTAACCTCAGGGTCAGCAGTTCGAAACTACTAGCTGTTCCATGGGAGAAAGATGAGGCTTTCTGCTCCCATAAAGATTTACAGCTTCGGAAACCCTGTACAGGGTCGCTATGAGTTGGAACCAACTCCACGGCACAGAATAACAACAACAACTCCCCTCCAGAAAAGAAAATCTTACATGTGGAAAAATCTTAGGCCTGAAGTCTAAATATGTAAGGAAAATTATAAAATTCTGATAAAACAAATTCAAGATCTAATGGAGATATATTCCTTGTTATTACTATATTATTAATTCTTCCCAAAATGACCTAAGATCCAATGCAATCCCAATCAAATCCCAGTAAGTTATTTTATGGATAGCAACAAACTGACCCTAAAGCTGTATATAGAAAAGCAAAAGACACAGAATAGCCAACACATACTAAAGAATCACAAAATTGTAGGCTGACACTACCTAACTTCAAGACTTACTAGACAGCTTTGGAGACCTATATGTAAAATCTAGAACTATAAAGATCATCAATGAAAAATTAGAGACAGACTTAAGGTCTCTAATATATGGTGTAATGGTTAGGGTTCTGTGTTAACTTGACTAGGCCAGAATTTCCAGAGGTTTAGCAGTTGGGATGTGATTATTCTCATGGTGATGAAATCTAATACAGGCATAGTTAACTCTAAGGTGAGTGGCTATCAGCAGCCAATCAAGTAAACAGATGTGTGTGGCCTACTCACAACATAATGGATACCTGGAAGGGACTCTCTTCTGCTGGGAACCTGAGACTCCCTACAATGGTAAGATAATAAACTTTTAATTTTATATATACACACTTCAGACTGGTTTGGCTTCTCTAGAAAAAGACACGTGGCATAAATACACTATCAAACATTACAAAAAAAAACACCACCACACCAACAGGAGGAGATTATAAAATAGATGACCAGGACCCCCTAAAAATTAGACACTTATATGCATCAAAAGATTTAGCCAAAAGAGCAAAGACGGAGCCCACAAACTTGGAAAAAAAATTTTTGCAACAATATATCAGACAAAATTTATAGAAAACTACAACACCGCTACACAAAAAAGACAAATAACCAACTGAAAAATGGGAACAAGCTCTCTGCTCCTCCCCATTCAACAGGCAGCCACAGATTCTCTTGCAATTCCAGTCATATCCCTGAGATAGGATGGTGAAGGTCAGAGTCAATGGATTTGCCTTATTGGGCACCTGGTCACCAGGGCTGCTGTTAACTCTGGCAATATGGAGGTTGTTGCCATCAATGACCCCTCCACTGACCTCAACTACATGGTCTACATGTTCCATTATGAATCCACCCATGGCAAATTCAATGGCACTGTCAAGGCTGAGAACAGGAAGCTTGTCATCAATGGGAAGCCCATCTCTATCTTCTAGGAGTGAGATCCCCCCATCATCAAGTGGGGTGATACTGGTGCTAAATATGTTGTAAAGTCCACTGGTATTTTTACAACCTTGGAGAAGGCTGGGGCTCACTTGAAGTATGGTGCCAAAAGGGTAATCATCTCTGCCCCTTCTGCTGATGTCCC